GGGCCGTGAACGTTAGGGAATTCCTACCAAAAAAATCTTTAAAACATTTTTTTTGTGGATCAGATATCACTGTTGTTTATTTAAATTTAATGCAAACTGAATTATTTTTTTTTGCATATATAAAGGACGTAAGCAGCAGACACATCTATAAGACTGCTGCTGTGGTCACACACGCAATATTTTCAAAATTTTGGATCTATCTGAACCCAAGAAGCTGTTTCCAGTACTTCTGGCAAAGTAAAAAAAAAACTAAACATTTGAAATGGTGGTCCAAACGAATGTTGTGTTGTACTAGCTCGGTCTCTTACGAGATTCGCCTGGCCAAAATAGAGGAAAACAGAACCGGATACACAAGGGCAAGATAATAAAGAGACTGAACCGGAGGGAGGATAACCCAGGAAGGAAAACACCAGGACACGGATAAAAAGAACACCCTGCGACAGAGGCAGAAAGGAGCTGGCTCACATACCAGAATTTAAGCCATGTAAGTGGCGCAGATGAACTAGACCACAAATATAACCGGAGCCATGTTAAATGTGGTTGTTATTTATGTGGTTTTTTTGTTGTTGTAAAGAACGGAACAGAAATACAAACAGAATGAAGCATTAAATGGAATATTTTCCCTAGGGCCTAAAAACTTCTGTTGGGTAACTCATACCATGACTTTTATCACTGAGGCTATGGGAAAATAGCAAATTTGACATCAAATATATTCATATCTTGACCTCCTAAATGCTGTGCTGGCACGAACATAGCCAATTGCATGAACTTAGCAAGTTAAAGAATTTAAATATCTAGGAAGTATATTCTCAGTGGAAGGGAGAATAGGTCTGGAAATTTAAAAAAAAAAAAAAAGAAAGATGCCAGTGCACTTATATATCACCTCACACCGTTTTTTAAATAACCAAACATAAGACTACATATAAGTGCCAAGAAACAGATTATAAACGGCAAATTCATATCAACACTTTGCTACAAGTGCCACATTTGGACATTATCAAAGGTTAACATATGTAAAATGTACACGTGTGAAATGAGATGCCTGAGAAAAGCTGCCAGCTAACCATCTGAGCAAAGTTATAAATATTATCAGGCAGACTGTGGGAACAAAACCATGCAGCAAAAATAATTGAAAACCAGAAGATCAAATGGTTTGGACATCTAGTAAGTATACAGCCAGAACAACTCCCAATGCAGGTACTACACATGGAAAGATTAGATGTGAAAGGGTACACAAGGAGATGATGGATTTATGACATTTAAGAACATCTACATCGACACAGAATGATAGTCATTGCTGTCAGTCTAGCAGTGGATCGCAAACTGTTCCTTCCCACAACGCTTAACAGTAGAGGTGGAAATTTATGATGATGACTGGTATCTTGTTTCAAGGAAAAAAGATGTCCTGCTCAAAATCAATTGGGTAATTTTTTTTTTTCAGCCTCACATCAGTTTTATTATGCATTTGATTTGAAATGATTGTCATAAATGTGTCTTGAAAATTGTAAATGTTTGGTGGTAGAAATTGTAGTGTATTTGATTTTAGGATGCAAATCCAGTAAATTAGTGCAGAAGTTGGTACAATTATTTCTGAATGATTGATAATTAATACTGTAATGTCTCCAGGACTTTTATTTTTGGAGATTCATAACAGCAGACTATTCTTGATAAATATATATTCTTTGAAATGTTAACCTTTTTGCCAGGTAAGCCTTTTCAAGCCAAAATGATCTATTTTTGTTTGCAAAATAATTTGTCATGGGGAGCTGTGGCTGTCATGCTGATCTTGGTTTCGAATTTTCAGTTTGGCCTCAATTTAAAACAGACTTGGGCATTGCAGCTTACTCAGATACCAGCTTTTTTTTTTTTTTTCAAACTGTCCCGGGCTTATCGGTTGTATTGAACTAAAATGGGTACCATGAAGTTATCTGTTGGAAGAAAAGGTGGCCATAGTGGTGATATCCACATTACGTATCAAATGCAGATTAATCAATGGTACCATAGGCACTAATTCTTACATCACCCTTGACCCCTTAGGGTCATGGAGGTATATTGATGGAATCACTAACACACAAAACCTGCCATTTTTTTTTCGTCCTCCACTTGTTGGACAAGTATATGATAATTTAGCCCTGTCTATTTCTGGATGTTAGTTATTCCAAGTTTTTCTTTGCCCCTCCATCTTCTGCAACTACTCCCCAGTATTCCTTGAAGTATAGTCTTTGCAATCAAATGTCTCACCACGTATCCAAACCAAACTAGCTTGCCACATTTCACCACTGCCATAAGAGGCTGCTGGTGTCCTGTGAACTTGTTTCTCTCTTACATGTTAGTTAAGGTTAATGGAGGTGCAACGATGGAAGCACTAACACACAGAACCCGCTCACTTTCTCCGGCGTGTTGAAAAAGTGTATAGTAACTTAGTTCTGTCCATTTCTTGATGTTGTCACTCCATATCTTTTTTGACTCCCCTCCCAGCTCCTTGAAGCAGTCTTTGCAATCGAATCATGTCTCACCATGCACCGGAACCAAGCTAGCTTGTGACGTTTCCCTGCTGCCATAAAAGACTGCCAGTGTTCTGCAAATTTGGGTTGTTTGTCTCTTAAAGTTTTGTTAGATGCCAGTACGAGGATAAGAGTTCTCCAACTTATTTTACTGGAGCATATTTTGTAAGGAAGGCTGTGGTAGTATAGCGACCAGACTTGGTCACCAGAAATTCATGTTTCAAGAAGTGGTGGTTGTCCATAAGAATGTGGTACAAAGCATGAATTCCATAAGCTCCAGCTAAGACCCCTGACAAGCAACTCTGAAATATATGCATGCACTAACCATCGAGGCAACAACTTTCAGAGCACAAGGCAGATGGCTTAACCACTTTGCTATGAAGATCATTGTTGTGTGTGTTTGAGATATTGTCTGAACCTGTCAGTTTGTATGCAGACTGTTTGTCTCCATGAGCCAAGGGCAGTTTGTTTGGTGGGGGTTATGTCTTATATGTAGGTGTAATCATAGTTACTGCTATTTATATGTAGTATGTTTATGTTTGTGTCAGCTGCATACATTTGAGGTAAATGACATAAAAGCATTTGCCTTAACGTGTGTATTATAAACTTTATTATATAAAGATATGTGGACACTTGCTGAGTTTTTGTTACAAATTTCAAACAAATAAGTTCAAAAGTGTGTTTAAAAGCGATAGAATCAGATTCATTGTGTGAGGTTCATCATGTTGGTTTTATTGTGGGGAAAAACAAGAATAGATCCACTGCTTAACCCAAGAGCATGACATAAGAGTTGACTAATTGGGAGCTTCCTTCTAAGTCAGAGTGCATCTGCCTGAAAGGCAAGGAACCAAGTCTGCATACAACAGTCAGGATTTTAAAACAATTCCACACTCAACACTCAGGTTTTGGAATAGGACTACAGTCTAGAAGTGGACGAACAACTAGAACTTTCCACCGGAGTTTACAGACGTGAGCGTGAATAATGCTTTATTATGCGAGGTTTAAATCTTCATGATCGTACTTCAGAGCGTTGGAAATGCCTTGTGACTGTCTGCAGCATAGCTGCGATATTTGCACCTTTCACCTAACTCCAGGCATTTGTTGACTCTGAAGGGATTCAACTTGTATTTGTATAGAGCCATCGGCCCTCAACTGGTGATGTGGTCAGTATCATACCAGCTGCCTTTTCTTCCCAGGAATTTACCTGGGACCTGTTTTAAGCTCGGTTGACCTGCACTCCACCTGCTTTCATAAATGCAGATCAGATACATGGCTCACCAAGGAATCCATGGAACATGGCACCAGCATGTGCTTCAACACTGTCAACTGTATGCTGCTTACAGAGAAGCAATCTGGTCTGTTCTAACCTCATTGAAGACAAAAGCTATATGGTACATGAGGAGATATGGATGACATGACAGCTTTCATCAAGGCTGCTGGTCTCCTAGTATACATTTTCTGACAGAAGGATCAAAAAAGAAGAATATAAATATGCAATGTAAGTGGCCAATAAAATCCAGGTTAACAATGACTACGGTTCTAATGAACACTAAGAAAGATTTTTATTCTTTTAAAGTTTATTTCCAAGTCTTTGTAACAGTTACTGCATCTTGCCATACAATTACTAAATTAGTACAATCAATTCCCTACGACAAAATTACACATAAAAAAGCAATAAAATACAGGGTTAAGTTTCCAGTCTCAAATGATTCACTGTGTTCAGGACTCATCTTTACCATATATCTTTCTGTCTCTGCTCTAATAACTGCATCGCCATGGAATTCCTTCATTCTATGTAAGAGTTCTTGTCATGTGGGAGATCAAAACCCAGGTCCCATACTGTGAGAGCCTGACCCTCTAACCACCTACTCCTTTATAACCAGCAATAGCTACTTTATGAGAAGCGGGTTGGCATCCTTTGGATTTTCCCTACAGGGAATGCCGATGTGTTGGGAAATGAACAGGCAGATAGACTAGCTGCTTCCCCTTCACTTGGTGGTAAATTGATGCAAGACAAGCCAGATGATGTAAGGGCCTGTTGGGAGTGAGCAAACAGTGCAGCGGCACAAACAGGTCATCATGGTCTGAAGAGAAAGGGGCAGCAAGGAGTGACCACATCTGGCCAGCGCTCAACACTCAGAGGAGGGGGTGAGATGGACATACAGACTGTTAATGGTACCATCAGACTGGAACTCTTGCTGCTGAAGTTGGGGACAGAGCACTTACGGCAATGACCCAAACGCTATGTTTAAGTTCTTAACTCACAACACAGTGGATTTTTCGTCTGGGACACAAACACAATTCCCAACCCGCAGAGCGTGGCAAGAGCACTAGCCATGCAGAACTAAATTCCCCCCCCCCCCCCAAACAATGTCTATGTGGTGAAGACAGGCAAAAATGATAGTAACAGCTACTGTTAAGAGTCAGTTCCACAAAACAAGAAAACTGCACACAAATAAAAAAACATGAATACATACAAAATACGGGTGCATTCAACTAGTCACCAGAATCTAACATTTCTGGGCTACTTGCACTGTCCAAGTCATTGTTAACTGTGATGACGTAATCTTCATTGTCGTCATCTGACTGATGCGTGTCGTCTTTTTTCCGCCCGCCACCGCCATCTTCACCTTCGTTGTCGCTGGCTTCCTCAACATTATCGCCATCGTCCTCCGTCTGCTGAACTGCAGGTGTCGGTTTGTGAGCTTTGTCCTTCTTCTTCTCCAACTTCTCTGCCCGAAAAGCTGAAAGAATGTCACAAATACATCAATGACAGAAGGGTCAAGTTTACTCGCGGGCCAAAATGTTGGAAAATGGGGATCACCACGGGCCAGAAGAAAGACCATTAATACAATACAGTTGGTATGTGATCCGCGCGTGACATGCTATGCCTCAGCGTGGAAGGTCGTAAATTCACTCTCTGGCGGAGCCTGACTTTTTTCAAAAATGACCTTGGCTTCCAGGTTGACCCAGCCTTGAGTGGGTACCAGCGCAGTCCTGGCAAGTAAAGGCGGCTGGCGTGATGATGACCACATCAACCATCTTGTGCTGTTGGTCTATAAAATATAGGTCTAGCCCTATATACCCAATACCCCTGAAGGGCGTGGAAAAGGGCCCTTTACTTACTTACTTACCTTTGCAATTGTTACTGAGTTACCAGACTGGATTTCAACAACAACTTTAAAAATAACTTCCACTGACTTTTACCGGCACTTACCTTTTGGGAAAGTGTTCAAATAAGGATGGTCATGTGAAAGGTCCAGCAAACTGGTAGGGTCATTATGAGTTCAATGGTCGTTTCTCATTAATTATGGAGGAAGTCAAGTATCACAATCTGATCTACTAATAAAGACTGTAATGTTGATTGACAGCCTGCCGCACATACAAAAACCAGATGAATAACTGATACATGTCTGATGGGAGGTTTACTTGACAAACCAAACCTAAATACTATGTCACCTTGAAGTCTTCTTCCTCTTCATGTTCACCGGCTGCAAAGTTATGGTTGTTCATCCACTTCTGAACTTCAGTCTTTTTCTAGAAAATGAGTTTTTTGTGTGTGTTCACATTCATTTTACAGATGCAGCTTATTTGCATGCAGACTGTTGGTACCGGTGAATGATTTCACAGAACAGCAAAGAATCAAAGGGGGGATATTTCAGGGGGTGGTAGATGGACTGCATGCATTCGTGGGACATAGGCTGCACTCTCTCGTGGGATGTAGTTGGGTTTCGGCCCGTTCTAGATGTTTTAGGGTCATTAAAAAGCATCAGAAACCTGGAAAACCCAGTCTTTCCACCCTCTAAAATGTTGGACTGTCCTGTGACGTCATCTGGGGTATGATATTAATAAGGAACCCATATAACTATTCTCTGCGACGCTTTACGGCATAAGCAGTTGGACAAAAGAAGAAGAATACAAAAGCAAGCAGCTTTCAAACTGCACTCACATCCTCTACCCGACACTGACAGCGATGGGGACAGCAGACAGCACTTACATCCTACACCTGACACTGACTCTGCGATGAGGACAGCAGACAGCACTCACATCCTCCACCTGACACTGACTCAGTGATAGAGACAGCAGAAAGCACTTACATCCTCCACCTGACACTGATTCAGCAATGGGGACAGCAGACAGCACTCACATCCACCACCTGACACTGACTCAGCGATGGGGACAGTAGACAGCACTCCCATCCTCCACCTGACAGTGATGGGGACAGCAGAAAGTACCCACATCCTCCACCTGACACTGACTCAGTGATGGGGACAGCAGATAGCACTCACATCCTTCACCTGACACTGACTCAGCGATGGGGACAGCAGACATCACTCACATCCTCCACCTGACACTGACTCAGCGATGGGGACAGCAGAAAGCACTCCCATCCTCCACCTGACAGTGATGGGCAGGGTTCGTAGTGGACCGGGAAATCGGGAAATTACCGGGATTTTTTTCGTTGACCTTGAACCGTGATTTTTAGCTTATAAAAGACATTCCGTCCTTGAAAAGCCGTGAATTTTGACCGCGGCAATGAAATCGTCAGAAATCCTGTGTTTTCCAGCACAGGCAATTTTGGGGGAGCCATTTGGCTTTTTGGGCCATTTGGATAGTTTTTGGCTACTTTTGTTGTATGGTCGTTTCAGGTGTGAGGGCAGCTGATTATTGGCTATTTTCAGCCGAAATGGCTTGTTAAAGGCCAGGGAAGGGCGGGCTGTGTTGCAGATCATGAATACATGCAGACAGCAGCGGTGTGGCATGGGGCGGGAAGTAGCAGATTCCGTCTCACGTGTGTGTGTGTGCCTTTGTTTCTAGCAAGTTGGGCAGAATGAACAGTATAAATCGTTTATGGCCATGGTTTCTAGAAAGGATTACATTGGGAGATGGTGGGGCTCGGTTCAGTTGTATTTATGAATAGAGTCGCCTAAGCACAGCCTTCTCTATTAATTAGAGATGGCATTGGGGCTAAGCAAAGTGACTGCAGCTGGATTTCCCAGTTCTATTTTTGGCCTGGATTTATCTTTACAGTGTGTTTGGCGATCAGTATTGTAATTCCCCAAGATTCCCTCTTCTGTTGTCTCACCCCTCTCTCTCTCTTCCCTCCCTCTTTCACTCTTCTACCTATTGCTCCTTCCTTCCCGTCTCCTGCATTGTCTCTAACCCTCCCTTCTGATCTTAATCTTCTTCTCTTTCTCTATATCTTTCCTTTTACTCTCTCATTTCCTGTCCCCCCTCCCCCTTTTTCCTATTTTATTTCTTGTTTAAATGTTTAGTAAATGTGCGGCTCCATAACTCTTCCTAGCAACTCAAGTACACAGGAAGTTGTATTGGGAGGGGGGGGGGGGGGGCATTCTGTGTGAACATGGTGGATATTTTCTTTTGATGTGTTTGTTTTCCTAGCGGCCTTAATCTCTGTCCATCTCCCTTCCCGCCCCCTCACATTTTGTCCTACCTGTTCCTCACTATCTGCCTGTCTGTGTCACTGCTTTCCTCTCTCTCTTTCTCTTTGTATTTGCCACTCTCCCCCACTCCCTCCCTCTCTCTTTCTTTCTCCATACCTTCAGTTGGTGTAGAAGGTTATGTGTTGCCTAGTGCAGAACATTTCATGTCCACCATTCCCCCCTCCCACACATTAAATATATGTGTACTTTTAAAAACACATTTGCCGTCACCCTCCCCCCCCCCTTTTCTCCTCCCACATTGATGACACCTAGGGGAGGGAGTGCACCCCTTCCTGCTACCTTCTTCCCTCTATATCTCATCTTATTTCTTACTCCCTTCCTTCTCTCCCTGTCTCATTCCCACTTTATTTTCTTAAACTTTATTCTCTCACCTCCTCTGTCTCACCCTTACCACCTCAGCCTTCTACACCACTTTCCACCACCTCCTCTCTCCCCTCCTTTCTGTAATTGGAAAACCAGAAATAAAACGAAGTCCACTGCTGCCCTGACCTATTTATGTGTCTGACCTATTTATGTGTGTGGGGAAACTTCTATATTTTCCACCAGTGGTGGGTTGGGATCCCCTGGACTTTTTTTCTTCATAAAATGACCTTGGCTCTCAGGTCACCAGCCTTAAGTGTAAGAAATTGAATTATTGTTGTCACACACACAGATAGGACAAGCAAGGGGCAGTAGGGGTTTTTGGACCACGGCCACATTTACATTGGGAGAGGGTAGGAACCGGAAAAGTGGCCTCACTTAGAGATTTCCTAATTCTATTTTTGGCACTCATTGTTCTTACACCCCCCCCCCCACCCCACAACCGTGTCTTACCTTTCTTCTCTCACCCCTTCTCTTTCCTTTGATCTTCTACTATTCTCCTTTCTCTCTCCATTCTTCCTCTCTACCTTTCCTTGCCCTTTCTCCTGTCCCATCTCTTCTTTGTCTCCTCTCCATCCTGTCTTTTCATTTTCTCTAGATTCCCTTACCTGCTCCCCTCTCTCATTCTCCCCCCCCCCCCCCCCCATTTTCTTACTGGTTCATCTACGTATTTTTTTGCCCCATAACTATCTTTTCCTAGTTGTTGTGTCCACTACACTTGGGGGGGGGGGGGGGGGGGTGTGGGGGGGGGGGGGGGGGGGGGGGGGGGGGGTAGGTGGCTGTTTTTTTTGTCTTTGATGTATCTTGTCTCCCTTCCTGCCCCTCTCTCTTAATCTGTGTTTGTCACTGCCTTCCTTACCCACCTCTCTTTCTCTCTCTTGCTTTATGTCTGTTTGCCTCCCTTCATCACTTCCTCTTTGTATACCTCCCTCCCATTCTCCTGCTCTGCCTTTTTTCTCTTTCTTTGGTTCTCTCACTCTGTCTGCTTGCCTCTCTGTGCTGTCCCTTTGTCTTTCTCTCCTTTATGTCTACATCTCTCTCTGCTTGCATCTGCTTCTCGCCCTTTCCGTTCTCTCTCCCTCTGTCTCCCTTCTTTCAACTCTTTGTCATATTTTCCTCCTTCCATATCTCTGTTTCGTTCCCTTTTTCCTTCTCTTTTCATCTGCCCATCTCTGTATCTGCATTCCCTCTTTCTGTATTTGTCTCCCTCTCTGTCTTTCGCTGTCCCTTCCCCACTTTTTCTCATCATGTCTCCATCCCTCCCTCTCATTTTTGCCTCCTTCCCCAGACTTCTTTTCCTTCTTTTCTCTACCTTCATCTGTCCATCTTTACACTGTCTTTCCCAGCCTACCTCAGCATGTGTCTTCCTCTCTCTTCATGACTCTCTCTTCCCTAACCCTCTCAGGTACCAGGTCCAGAACAGACAGGACTTCAGTTTTCTGCCCTCTACCACCAAGCCCTAAAAAAAAATTTCAAACACTATATCAAGCTCAGGGGCCGACCAACACGAAGATGGGCACAGGATATAAGTGACTCCTTGAGTATAAAAAAGTACATGAGGCGGGAGAGCTGGTGAGAGACCGAGGTTTTTTTTGTCAGGACAAAGGAAATGCTACATGATGATGATATCTGTGCTGGTATACCAACACATGTGGCACAAATGAAGTACCTTGTGTGCTCAGTACACCCTTGAACAAGGCAAAAATCTTGTTTCAGTATTACACCGAGACAACCTTGAAAAAAACTAAGGAGACCTTGAAAAAGACCTTGAAAAGCCTTGAAATTGATTGGTAAATTTGGCTATGAACCCTGGATGGGGACAGCAGAAAGTACCCACATCCTCCACCTGACACTGACTCAGTGATGGGGACAGCAGATAGCACTCACATCCTTCACCTGACAGTGATGGGGACAGCAGAAAGTACCCACATCCTCCACCTGACACTGACTCAGCGATGGGGACAGCAGACAGCACTCGCATCCTTCACCTGAAACTGACTCAGCGATGGGGACAGCAGACAGCACTCACATCCTCCACCTGACACTGACTTAGTGATGGAGACAGCAGACAGCACTCACATCCTCCACCTGACACTGACTCAGCGATGGGGACAGCAGACAGCACTCACATCCTCCACCTGACAGTGATTGGAACAGCAGAAAGTACCCACATCCTCCACCGGACACTGACTCAGCGATGGGGACAGCAGACAGCACTCACATCCTCCACCTGACACTGACTCAGCGATGGGGACAGCAGACAGCACTCACATGCTCCACCTGACACTGACTCAGTGATGGGGACAGCAGACAGCACTCACATCCTATGATAAAGAGCTCCCATACCTAGGAGTCACATTTGATGACAAGTTGACATGGAGAAAACATATCAACAAGGGAGCAACCAAAGCCAGGAGGAAGACATCAATACTAAGAAAACTAAGTGGAACCACATGGGGAGCAGATGGGGAAAATACTCAATAAAGTATACAAGCAGAGCATACTTCCACACTTGGAATATGGGTCAACTGCATGGTGTTCAGCGTCTAGTACCACATTAAAGGAGTTAGACAAAGTGCAAAATCAAGCGCTCAGAGTCATCACAGGAGGGATGAAATCAATCCCCATATTAGAAATGGAGAAAGCTGGGAAAACACAGGCACTGAGAGAACGCAGAGATACAAAGTTGCAAATACAAGCTGAAAAGTTCCTCAGTATGCCAGATCACCCGATAGAAAATAGATTTAAGAACCTAGCCTTGGGACGGTTAAAGAGAAGCAGCTTTATACACCAAGCAAAAAGAATATGTAGACAAACTCCTGACCTTCCAGAAATTGGCTGCCCACTTAAAAGTATTCCGGAACAAACCCCATGGAGAGAAAAATGTAAACTAACGGTACAAATCCAGACAAATGTGAAAGGGATATTTGACAAGAAAGAGCAAGATAGTGTACAACGCAAAATGGCCACCCTCAGTTATATTGATGAAGAATACCCACAAGAACAATGGGTCAGTCTATACAGATGGGTCTGCAGAAAGTGCAGTTAGAAATGGTGGTGCTGGAGTGTACATCGAATTCCCAGATGGTACTAGGGATAAGTCCAGCATACCAACCGAGAAGTACTGCCATAAATATGAAGCAGAAACTCAAGCTATCAAGATAGCAAGAGAGAAACTGCTAAATACCAATCTTGTCCCACAGTATGTGGTAATGCTGACAGATGCTAAATCAGTACTTGAAGCACTCCAGTCTAGGAAACTACCAGAATTGCAAACACTGCTGACACAACTCAGCGTTCAGCGAAGAGACGTAATGCAGTGGATACCGTCTCATTGTGGAGTGCCTGGAAATGAGAAAGCTGATCAACTGGCAGGGGAAGGTGCGACAAAAGAGCAGCCGGATGTACCAGTCACATACCACCAAAAGAAAAGAATCATTAAATCGATCAGGAAACCACCAGCCCCAGCACAAGATGACTATTTTATTATGGACAGACCAGAACAAGTCATTATCCTCCGCCTCAGAACAGGGCACAACGGATTACGTAACCACATATACACAAAATTCAAGATAGGTGTATCAGCCATGTGCACCTGTGGAAATGTGCCCCAGACAGCAGAGCATGTACTCCAGGACTGCACCGATTTTGACACATTAGGGCAAACCTTTTGGCCAGAAAGAACAACAGTGGAACGTAAACTCTATGGACCACTGAATGAACTAACAACGACAGTAAAATTTATACAAGAGACAAAACTGCTGATATAGACAACTTATTTCAGGCGAACGAAAGAAGAAGAAGAAGACTCACATCCTCCACCTGACACTGACTCAGCGATGGGGACAGCAGAAAGCACTCCCATCCTCCACCTGACAGTGATGGGGACAGCAGAAAGTACCCACATCCTCCACCTGACACTGACTCAGTGATGGGGACAGCAGATAGCACTCATATCCTTCACCTGACACTGACTCAGCGATAAGGACAGCAGACAGCACTCACATCCTCCACCTGACACTGACTCCGTGATGGAGACAGCAGAAAGCACTCACATCCTCCACCTGACACTGACTCAGTGATGGGGACAGCAGAAAGCACTCACATCCTCCACCTGACTCTGACTCAGTGATGGGGACAGCAGAAAGCACTCACCTTCCTGGCACTGCTGAAGAGGTTCAATGAACTGTTCAAACTCCATGTCTTCCATAGCACTCAGAATATCCTGAGCTGTGACAGTCTTTCTTTTGTTCTTCAAGGCAAAATTGTTGGAACTGTGTACACACAGAAAGAAAACAGTCATTATTTGGTGACAAATGACAAAAACCCCTTTCTTCTTCTTCTTCGAGTAAGTTTGCTCTTAACCCTGTCACCTCGGTAACCCTATCAAAAAAAAAAAAAAAAAAAATAAAAAATGACCCTGTAGGAATTCTTGGGGGAAAAAATCCTTTCAAAACAACAATTTTACACAGGTAACCAATAACAGATACAGCTATGAAATTGCAACAACATCTAATATCCATGAATGAAGAATGTAAAACAAATAATATGAGAATCAACACTGAAAAGACAGAAGTAATGTCAATAGGAAAAAATAAGACAGATCTAAACATAACAATAGAATACAAAGGCATTAAACAGGCAGCTGAGTTTAAATATCTGGGAACTACATTTACCGAAGATGGGAAATTGGATAAAGAAATTGACATTAGATGCAGTAAAGCAAACCAAGTATTGGGACAGCTAGCTCCCCTCTTACAGCATAAGACAATCCCAATCAGCACAAAGAGACATCTTATTCAAAGCATATTTATTCCAACTCTGTGCTACCAGTGCCAGACATGGTCACTCACAACAAACCATAAAAGAAAATTAGTAACCACGGAAATGAGATGTCTGAGAAGGGCTGTAGGAGTGACCATAAGAGATAAGATCAGAAATGAGATCATAAGAGAACAAGTCGGCACAGAACCAATTCTGGATTACATACAAAGACAACAAGTGAAATGGTTTGCCCACTTAGAGAGAATGCCTTGTGACACCATACCATACAAAGCATACATGGGAAGAGAAGAAGGACGTAGAGCACGTGGTAGACCAAGAACAAGATGGAAGGATAACATCAGAGAAACTCTACAACAGTACGATGTGCCTATGGTCGAGGCAGCCAGAAGAGCTAGAAACAGAACCTTATATCTCCCTCGACACCCACAGCGGTAAAAGAGGAAGTGAAGAAGAAGAAGAACCAATAAATGTTTCTAAAATTGATGCACATGTTAAAAATTTTTACAACAATATACCGGTATATATAATTGGTGTAACCAATAAGCAAGAACAGAGTGAAGCATTAAATGGAATGCATTCCCCGGACCTCTATCACTCATGCCTATAGAAAAACTATATAAGTCAACCTGGTTTTTAAAAACTATTGGACTCAAATGAAACCTCTCTAAATGCCATATACAGTTAATTCCATCACACCTGGACCTCTCAAACACTGTGCAGGCGCAAAGAGAGCCAACTGTATTTAACTATACTTTTCAAGAACATGTCACTGCAGAAATTGTGATATATCAGCATTTACAGGGCTGTCCCACTAACAGAAGTGATTAGATTGTGACATTTTGGGGCATTAGAGTTAAAGCAGCAGTTGGAACAAGTAATGGTTTACAGCTAAGAGGCAATATCTGCACCTTTTGGACCAACCATCAAATTTTAGTAAAACATTTTTAGATGCCTTTTATGACATACTTGTAAAGGGTGAACAGTCTAAGAACTAATAATAAGAACTGGTCGAAGGTCTATGTTCCATTTAGGAATAAATGGTTTTTTATGGCACATTTCCGTCTTTCCAGACAGTGCTCTACTATCAGTGTGGCAGCGCGCTACTTTATGCTGACATGGATATGCTGAAGGCTCTCTGGGATCAATTGGACAGTGCAACAGAACAGGCAGAGAATTCATACACTGAAAGATTAATTCAGCGGGGGATGTAGAGTAGAGGTTCTGGAAGACATTCAACACTGATTCAGTGTCAGGTGGATGATGTGAGTGCTGTCTGCTGTCCCCATCGCTGAGTCAGTGTCAGGTGGATGATGTGACTGCTGTCTGCTGTCCCCCATCATTGAGTCAGTGTCAGGTGGATGATAGGCAGCCGTTTAATCAGGTGGCAACTGGTACTGTTAGTATGTCGACTCTTCGATGGCTACTGAAGAAGGGGGCGGACCACCTGTGGGAGTGTCCCAAGTGCAGTTAAGTCAATTCTAGATTCATTCATTAATTCCATCTTCCTAGACAACAGTGTTTCATTGTGCTCTTGACAGACAAAAGAATCACAGCCCATGGTGATGAGGAGTCTGACTAGTAAGACCTGCTCCAATAATCCCATTGTGATGAGGAGTCTGACTAGCAAGACCTGCTCCAGTTATCACATGGTGATGAGGAGTCCGACTAGCAAGACCTGCTCCAGTTATCACATGGTGATGAGGAGTCTAACTAGTAAGACCTGCTCCAGTTATCACATGGTGATGAGGAGCCTGACTAGTAAGACCTGCTCGTTTCTCCAGGTGTCGCTCAGTTCTGCCGACATTAGCAGCTTAACAACTGCATTTAAATTGGTAGATACAATTACAAAAAAAAGCAGCTGATAAATGCGCTATTTGTAACAACCGTGTGCTTTCAAAAGTAAAGGACCAGCTCGACATCTACCCATCTGTAAATCATCACAGAGAATTTCCTTATGGACTACCATCCGCTCAGTGCACGTTTGGCAACTGAACCTTCGAAGATTAAGCACTAAGAAAATAGTTGCACCCTCTTTCTAACAAATCATCATCATCATGTGCTCATGCGTCTCCACAGATTACGATCCCTGGTTGCCTGGAACAGCTCTCTTGATAATATCCCTCCATGCCATCGTTTCAGCTCATCCAGCATCATCTCTCCTGGTCTGCCTCTACCCCTTTTTCCCACTGATCTTTCCAGATGTCACGATGTTCTCCAATGTTTATCTTCTCATTATGTGGCCAAAGAACAGTGTTTGTCTCTTTCTTATTGTTGTATATAGAGATCTACTTTCATTAGCTTCTTTCAAGCAATCGTTGTTTGTAATCTATCTAACCTGTTTGAAATCTTGGATTAAATGGTATAAGAAAGAAATATAATAAAGAGAAAGCTTAAATGCACGAGAATTATGTAACAGCTGCAGACATACAGTACATACCAGGAGGTTGCGTAGAGCACAAACACACTGGCAGCTTTGGAAATAGCCAATCTTGCCTCTTTGGACACATTCACACCTTCTGGAATCTGAAAGAAACCATGTTATGCTGTATTATACCTACATGTCTGGTCATTAAAAAATATATGTCCCAAAGAGAACTACTTTGAATAATTAATGACATTCTTCTCAAAAACATTTCCGAAAATATTACTATATGTTCTTGCAAGCAATCAGTCGCCCAGTGGATCTGATAAAAGTGAAGTCCGCCATCTTGACCTGAACTCTTTTGAAGTAAAGTTAAAGTTAAAAGGCTAAAGAAAATGGGTTAAGACCCCCATAGGAATTCTCGAAAACAAAAATTCTTTAAAACACAAGAGGTATTTTTGTATGTAGATTTTTTAAAAATATATATAAAGATAAATTAAGAGATTCAATAAACATATACAATGGAAGATTCCAAGGGTCATACAAATATATAATGGCTTTAAACAAAACATTTGGTTTGTAGGACCCCCCCCCCCCCCCAAGGTTTAAACAATAGATATCAACATCATGGTACAAAGATAGTAACCCATAAGTGCTCCATTCTACTTCTAACTCAAGTCTTGAGTCTAAAGAATCTCAACTCAGTGCACAAACAACAGGATCCTGAAATACTTTGGGTATACTTTTATTACGTGCACAACAACAACACACAGGCGTCTGATCTTACTACCCAGAGACCAGGGGAAATCACTAGAATTCGCCTCGAGACCATGCTGCAATGAGGATAATCTGCCGACTAATATGTCTTTAATAAACTCTGAAGCTGATCCCTTCAGCCTTATCCGGGGATATTTGTAAAGGTGTGAACACAGCCAATATCATTAACTATATGACAGGATATTTGTAAAGGTGTGAACACAGCCAATATCATTAACTATATGACAGGATATTTGTAAAGGTGTGAACACAGCCAATATCATTAACTATATGACAGGATATTTATGGGGAACTGGCCCCAACTGGAAGTGTTGGGGATGCAGCTTCTCTGGGCAACAGAGGTCAAACACCCTTTAACTGTAATTATTCCTAAAGCACGAAAGAACTTACAGCATCTTTAATTATCCGTGCAACCACAGCATTAGGTAGATTTAAGTCTTCTGGTCTTTCTGCCATTTTAAAGAAGTTTAAAGGTACTTAAAAATCTGAAAATAAATGAAACAGAAAATGTGAATTCTATGTGTGTGTTAACCACTTATAAGAGAAGATCGATCAATTAGTCTGTCCTCTCCTTCTTCTTCTCTTCGCATTCATTAACTGTAAACTCCGGCAGAAAGTTCTGGTTGTTTATCCACCTCTAGATCTTAGACTTGTTCCAGAATCTGAGTTTTGTGTGCACATCTGTTTTACAGATCTGACTTATTTGTATGCCATACCATCCCGAGATTTTTAAAAATCTGAATCACTGAATCTGGATAACAAGAAACCAGATCATCAAATGAGCAAGTCTTTTATAGAACTTTGCTCTCTTCACGGCAAACCTCAAAGTATCACTTTTCCTAGCCAGCTCTCCAACCACATTTGCTTTCAATGCCAATGTATTTTCAATGATGTATCCATCTTTGCAGTGGTCGACCCCTGCCTAGCCTTCCACAAACTGCACCCTTTAACGTCTTTTCCAAGCCACCATGACGTTTGACGTGGCCAAAATACTTCAACTTTTGAGATAGGATGTTGTTTATGAGCTTGTTCTCCTTGATGTTCAACTCGATGAGAATGTCGATGTTTTTCATCTTCTTGGTATTCTTAGAATTGTTCTATAACATTTCAATACAAAAGCTCCAATCTTTTTCTTCAGTGACTGAGTGAGAGTCCAGGACTCACAACTGTAAGTTGCCACAGGAAAAATGCATGATAGTGATCGACACCAGATAGTTTAAGTCGCTGGAAGTGCGCAATTGACATGTGACTGAGGCCCTGTTAGGGTATATTTTCTGTCTTGATAATTTGGGACCGTTATTCGGAAGATAGCTGAGTCCAGCTCTCCTTTGAATCAACCCCCAAAATGGGAGCTAACCTAGGTGCCTAGGACTCACGAGTAAAGTAATTGGAGGAAGTTGCAGGAGATGTGGTAGCTGCCGTCTAGTTTAGTCCCTATCCGCGCCGCAAGTAACGTCGTATCGCCGAGACCCTGTCAGAGCATTTGTTTCGTTATCACGGTTATCCGGAGCCGGCACATATATTTTTAATAGAAATGACCCGCGTTCGGATATTTTATGGCAGGAAATTGGCAAATTTAGCTCTCTTTCGAACGCCATCATATTAAAGACGCCATTTTGGGGGTTGATTCAAAGTAGAGCACCGAGTCCTTGCGCCTTAGTCATTTAACTTAACTTACAAGTTACTGTACTGTACTCTTTAATCGGAGCTTTCTGCAAGTGAGGTTGGGATCAAAACCACGCAACTCTCTCTGCCCTAAATAATAAGGTCTACCATATATATTAACAGATATTATGTTACATTCTCTCAAATATCAACGTTAAACTGACAACTGAACCATCAAAAACGCGATTCACAACACTGTAACTTACAGTACCTACAGAAACACAACAGGCGGGAGTTAAATCAATTCATGGACTCTTGTAACCAGAACAAAACAAATTCAGCATGCAGAGGAAAGTGTAATATTGAATGTAAAGTAAATAATAAATATAAATTAAATTATTTGCAAAATTGTTATATTCTTTTTTACACTAATCTATAAATATAGTGTGAAGTAGGTATTAATTATTACAATACAGTATTTTGTTTTGTGCTTTATTGTTATTTGTTTTTACATTTCAAACCTTCGTCCCTCGTTACAATCAACATTTTTTATATTTTAATTGTATATAGTTTAATATAATAATAAAAATAATACAGTTTTCTTGTTCCCCACTTATGAACCTTTAGTTTTCCTGGAGGTGGGGGGGGGCGGTGTTGGGGTAAAGGGTCTTGAATGTTGTTTACTTACCCAGTAATATTAAGTATTGTTATTATTATTTAGTGACGAATAGCAAATAGACGAAACGATATATCCGAAATAACAAGAAATATATAAACAAATATAGCATGTACACACACATCATCATCATCATCAGGTGCCTTGTCGACTGGCGTGGGCGATCATGCCTCTCCATAATCTGCAACCTCCTGCAGCATGTATCAGTTCGTGTGCCGACACACCTCCATGCCATGCAGCAAGACAGGTCAAGCATCTTCTCTCGTTGTCTTCCTCCATTCCTCCTGCACAGATCTTTCCAGTGGTCACAGAATGTTCTATTTTCCCTCTTCTCAAAAAATGATGACTGTCTCCTTCTAATGTCTGTGATAAGTTGTCTTTAGGCTCCCGCCTCTTTCAAAACCTCTTGGCTGCTCATTTTGGCTGTCCAGGGAATTCTTAGCATTCTTCTGTAAAACATGTACACACTTCATGTACACACACACAGACACACACACATATATTCATACTTTATAAATCCATGTTATTGTAGGTCATGCTAAGAATTTGCGCAAGCTATATAGAGCCAGTTTTAATATATACTCTTATATAGCTGTGAATTCTAGACAATTATTAATTTAATTAGCAACCTAAACAATTTTTTGAGGCCTCGAGGATGTGGCTTTACTGAAAAATCCTTATAATTTCTTCAACAGGCAAAAAGAGAAACCCAGATGTTTTGAAATAGGTGATGTCTCTGAGACAACTTATCACAAGCATTGGAAAGAGAGAAAGTGGAACATGTTGTGATCACTGAAAAGATCTGTGGAAATAACGATCGACGAAGACAATGTAAGAAGATTCTTGATACTATAGCCTTTTGTCATGGCATGAGGAGTGTCGAAAAACGAACTTTCACATGCAACTGGGAATCGAAGATTGTGGAGAAGATGGGTTTGATGATAAACACATGCCAAACAAGACGTCTATAGTGGTTGCGGGGCGGGGGTGGGGGTGAGGGATGACAGTTTCCTAAATATTATTGGAGGAGGCACTCCGTTCGCCCGTCTATTGTTCTTAGAGAATAAAAAAAATCATCATGTTTAACAAGCATTTCCGAAAGGGGAGCTTCAGGTTATAATTATGACTAAGGTAATGTGCAACAATATAAAATAGTTTAACATTGTTCGCCACCAAGTGGCTTTGAAAAGAAGTCTTGCAGTGTTGATGCGATCAAAGGAGACAGACCCAAATACTGCCCTGATCGACAACGAAGTCGTGTACTGGCGAGCCAATCAGCGACTCTGTAGCCGATAATGAGGAGGCACTCAGACCCCTGAAAAAAAATGGGATGGGATGGCTCTAGAGGTTTGAGCTATCAAAATCCGGCGCCCATGGCCACTTATAAAGTAATCACACCAGTTATGGTTAAGGATTAAAAAACCGTGACCATTGGGCCAGTGAGAATAAATGAGGTCAAGGCTATATTCTGACGTCTGTTGCAACTGTATCGATTACTTTATGCAACTTTATTTTGCCTTCTGAAGTCTAAACTGCGTTATACGTGTGTCTGTTTACCTTGTGTTAACTGATATAACATACATGTACATTTATATATCGCACAGGATTATCGAAGTATATCTTTTATTATTCTCATTATCAGTTAACCGTACGTGCTGAGATATTCCTGCAGCGAACATACCAGGTTATCCGGTGCAATAAGCCTATGACTATAGGAAAACATTTAATGGTAGATAGTTCTAAATCTCGAGTATAGCAAGTAATAATGTAAGCACGGCCTACTCTATTTATATATTAGAGAAGGCATTGAAAGTAAGTAATGTGTCGCTAAAAAAATCTTTTTTAGATGATCGACACTGATAAAAGATCAAATTGTTTGGTCATGTAACAAGATTGGCAACAGACAAGGCTTTATTCGTTCGTTCAGTCTGAGTTAGCCACTTTCACTCTCTGACTAGGAAGCAAACCTCGTCCTTGTCAATATCGGTTATAATTATGGCAACAAACTGTGTTGCTATTTCATTACGTAGTGTCTAGTGCTTTATTTTGTTTCTCGTGTCTATCTGGCCGGCCAGGTTGTGTCCGTCTCATTGTTCAGGCTGGGATCTGATTAAGTCAAGTGTTCCTTATTGTGCCATCCCTTGTTGGTGTTACTGCCATTGATTTGGCTGTCTTCCTAGCTATTTATGGTGATATTGCTGTACTAGTGCTGCGTGTTGTTTTAGTAGCTGTTATCGTTTGTTCCGCCATTAGGTCCTCAGACACAGTCAGACAGGTTTGCATCCTTGAGGACATAAGGTGAGGAGAGGAGTGGGTCAAAGTGCCACCTGAACAACCAGACTTGTGTAGAATCATAATCACACTGAGCCGGGAATGCAGAGACTGTCCAGCAGGTGCCACGGAGATGGAAATTCAGCAGTTAATTCAAGATAATGCTCGCTCAGAGGATTTGATCATTTACACAGACGTTTCAGTGCCAAGAGGCAAAAGAAGTGCTTGGGGCTTCTTAGCAAAAGTTAATGGTCGACGTTTGGTGCAGGAGAGCCTAGCATATGATACCACACACATCCAGCTTAAGAATGGAGGTGGAGGCAGTCACTGTAGCTTTCCGCTGGTTAGAGAACACGACACACACACACACACACACATCGTGACTGTAACTGGCTCAGAAAGCATGCCGAGGAAGATCAACACAGGCATGCTTCGTTCAGAGTGGCATGCTTCGCTGCGGAAGACACGGGCGAGGAGTATTGTCTGGATTTTGTTACCTGGGCACGCCGGTGTGTTGGGGAATGAACAGGCGGACAGACTGGCTGGCTCTGTACAACTTGGTGGAGTACTGATACATGATAAGGCAGACGTGGTTAGTGCCTTGTGGGAGAGTACGTACAGTTCGAAGGAGCAGATGAATCAACCGTGTGGAAGAGACTTATGCAGGGGGGAGTGACGAGAGGCTCAGAGGAAAAGTAAGACGGACGTTTAATCAGAATGCTACTGGCACCATTAGTATGGGAACTCTTCGCTGGCTGCTGAAGATGGGGACGGAGCGCTTATGAGAATGCATCGAATGCTGAGATGTAGGTTCTTAAATCAAATCAAATCCTAGGTCCTCAGTTTCTATGGCGATCTTGACCAAACTTCCTCAACTTTGTAGGCATGTAATCTTTGCCCATCT